AGGATTTATCCCAGGGATGCAAGGATGGTACAATATCCGCAAATCAATAAACGTGATACATCACATAAACAAATTGAAGGAAAAAAACCACATAGTCATATCAATTGATGCAGAAAAAGCATTTGACAAAATCCAACACCCATTTTTGATAAAAACTCTCAGCAAGGTGGGAATAGAAGGATCATACCTCAACATAATAAAAGCCATATATGACAAACCCACAGCCAACATCATACTCAATGGACAAAAACTAACACCATTTCCCCTAAAAACAGGAACAAGACAGGGATGCCCACTCTCACCACTCCTCTTCAACATAGTCCTGGAAGTATTAGCCATTGCAATTAGACAAGAAGAAGAAATAAAAGGCATCCAAATTGGAAAAGAGGAAGTAAAACTGTCCTTATTTGCAGACGACATGATATTATACATACAAAACCCTAGAGACTCCATCAAAAAACTACTAGACTTAATACATGAATTTGGCAAAGTAGCAGGATACAAAATTAATGCCAAGAAATCTGAGGCATTTCTATACACCAATAGTGAACTTTCAGAAAGAGAGATTATAAAAACAATCCCATTTACCATCGCACCAAAAAAATTAAGCTACCTAGGAATAAACTTAACTAAAGAGGTAAAAGACCTCTACTCAGAAAACTACAGGACGTTGAAAAAAGAGATAGAGGAAGACATAAAGAGATGGAAGAACATACCATGTTCTTGGATTGGTAGAATCAACATCATTAAAATGTCCATACTGCCCAAAGCAATCTATAAATTCAACGCACTTCCCATTAAAATACCAACGGCATATTTCACAGACCTAGAACGAACTCTCCAAAAATTCATCTGGAATAAAAAAAGACCCCGAATAGCTGCAGCAATCCTGAGAAAGAACAAAGTAGGTGGGATCTCAATGCCAGATATCAAGCTGTATTACAAAGCCACTGTTCTCAAAACTGCCTGGTACTGGCACAAGAACAGACATATAGATCAATGGAATAGAATAGAGAGCCCAGAAATCAGCCCCAACCAATACGCTCAATTAATATTTGACAAAGGAGGCAAGAACATACAATGGAGTCAAGACAGTCTCTTCAATAAATGGTGCTGGGAAAATTGGACAGATACATGCAAGAAAATGAAACTAGACCACCAACTTACACCATACACAAAAATAAACTCAAAATGGATAAAGGACTTAAATATACGACGGGAAACCATAAAAATACTAGAAGAATCCAAAGGCAACAAAATCTCAGACATATGCCAAAGCAATTTCTTCACTGATACAGCTCCTAGGGCAGTTGAAACTAAAGAGAAAATGAACAAATGGGACTACATCAAAATAAAAAGCTTCTGCACAGCAAAAGAAACCATCAACAAAACAACAAGAAAACCCACTGCGTGGGAAAACATATTTGCCAACGTCATATCTGATAAGGGCCTAATCTCCAAAATTTATAGGGAACTCATACAACTTAACAAAAAGAAGATAAACAATCCAATCAAAAAATGGGCAAAGGATCTAAATAGACACCTTTCAAAAGAGGACATTCAGAAAGCCAAGAGACATATGAAAACATGCTCAAAGTCACTAATCATCCGAGAGATGCAAATCAAAACAACAATGAGGTACCATCTCACACCTGTCAGAATGGCTATCATCAACAAATCAACAAACGACAAGTGCTGGAGAGGATGTGGAGAAAAAGGAACACTTGTGCACTGCTGGTGGGAATGCAGACTGGTGCAGCCACTATGGAAGACAGTATGGAGTTTCCTCAAAAAACTGGAAATGGAACTCCCATTTGACCCTGTGATCCCACTTCTAGGAATATATCCCAAGAAACCAAAAACACCAATCAGAAAGGATATATGCACCCCTATGTTCATAGCAGCACAATTCACCATAGCTAAGATTTGGAAACAGCCTAAGTGCCCATCAGTAGATGAATGGATTAGAAAACTGTGGTACATCTACACGATGGAATACTATGCTGCTGTAAAAAAGAAGGAACTCTTACCATTTGCAACAGCATGGATGGAACTGGAGAGCATTATGCTAAGTGAAATAAGCCAGTCAATGAAGGAAAAATACCACATGATCTCACTCATTCATGGATAATAAAGACCATTACAAACTTTTGAACAATAATAGATACAGAGGCAGAGCTGCCTCAAACTGATTGTCAAACTGCAGTGGGAAGGCCAGAGAGGGTTGGGGGGCAGAAGGGAGGGGAACTGAAGGACTTGTATACATGTATATAAGCCAAACCAATGGACATGGACAACAGGGGGATGGGAGCATGAGTGTGCAGGGTGAGGGGGAAGGTTGGGGGTTAATGGGGGGGGGATGAGGACACATTTGTAATACCTTAACTAATAAATAATAATAATAAAAAAGCCTCTGGTCCAGCAGACCACATGGATGTCAGACAAATATAGGACTGAGTGATATTGGGGGGCAGGCTTACTGAAATGGAGACTTTGGGGGCTGTTGGTCATAAGGGAGATGATTTTGGGTGTAGTGAAGTGAAGGGGTGCCATGAGGGCAGGAATGGGGCCATGGAGGGAAGGCACTTGCTGTCTGGGAAGGGTTCTCTGTGGAAGAATCCTGACTCTCAGATAAACGTTTTCTGGTGCCAGCTTCCATGATGTGACAGGGTTACTTGTGGTTGGTCCATGTTTATTTCTCTCTCTGGCTTCAAGATCATGAGGACACATTTGTAATACCTTAACTAATAAATAATAATAATAAAAAAGCCTCTGGTCCAGCAGACCACATGGATGTCAGACAAATATAGGACTGAGTGATATTGGGGGGCAGGCTTACTGAAATGGAGACTTTGGGGGCTGTTGGTCATAAGGGAGATGATTTTGGGTGTAGTGAAGTGAAGGGGTGCCATGAGGGCAGGAATGGGGCCATGGAGGGAAGGCACTTGCTGTCTGGGAAGGGTTCTCTGTGGAAGAATCCTGACTCTCAGATAAACGTTTTCTGGTGCCAGCTTCCATGATGTGACAGGGTTACTTGTGGTTGGTCCATGTTTATTTCTCTCTCTGGCTTCAAGATCCCAAAGAGCCCATGCATCTGCCTTCAGTGCCTTTCAGGATTGAAAATGTTTGACTCCAAGGCCTGGCCTCTTTCCCTCTAATCACATTCTTAAATTTAATCTTCTCCACCCAGTTGCTGAGCTAATCTCATCTTTCCCAGAGGAGACCCACCCTTTCCTCCTGGGAGGGAGAGAAGATGGAATCTCTCCCTTTGCCCTCTAGGATGGCACTGTCTCTATTCCAGCTTTCCTTCTTTTTTCCTAAATTCACCCAGAGAAGAGTCTTTCCATCTCTCTTCTTTCCAAGAAAAAACACCCATCTTTTACTTGGCCCTGCGTCATTCACAGGGTTCCATTAGGAGCCCAGCCCTGACCCTGCTTCTCATGGTGATTCTTACCTGACCTCCCTCACACAAGCCTTGGGGTATGAAGGGCCACTCACATGCTCAATTGCCCACCCCTTGATTCCTGTGGAGATCATGATCTGCTATGTCATCTGACATAAAACCTCACTTGATGCATGGACACATTTCATTTGTTTTCTTTGGGGATGACACCAAAGGGTGTCAGCTGTGGGCGTTGGCTGTTTTAACTGTGGATACATTTGGATTACTCTAATATGGCCAAAGACCCGCAACCACCACGCTCTCAGGTTGTGTTTTTTCCTATTTAACATCAGTTAACCATTACACCTTCATTGTCCCACACTGAGGATGACAACTGGAGGCCATCAGCCAACCTCAGTCAGTGTCTGTGGAAGGAATCCATAAGTCAGGCCTCAACCCTGCCCCTCCCTCACTTTCTCTCAATCCTTTAATCTGGAGAGAGGAAGTAATCCCAATAAGATTAAGGGATGGAGACTGAGGGTTCTGATTGGATGTTAACATTTGAGAAGGTGAATAAAAACCTCAGGCACCAGAGGAGAGATTCAGAGTCCTCCGGCTGTGCAGTCAGTGCCATGGTTCTCCACCAGGTCTGAGATCTGAGCCCCAGCCAACCCAGTCACAGCAGAAGTTTCTGCAGGATTCCTTTCTGAGCACCTTGAAGATGAGTATCTGGACCCCACCCACACTCCTGAGGCTGGCAGGAAGGAGCCTGCTGAGGGACCAGGCCTCAGCCATTGCAGCTCTGGAGTACCTGCCTGCTGAGCTCTTCCCGCCACTCTTCATTCAGGCCTACCATAGGAGAAAGCGGAAGCCCCTGAAGGCCATGGTGCACGCCTGGCCCTTCACCGTCCTCCCTCTGGGCTGCCTGTCACAGTTGTCCCTGGATAAGGTCTTAAAAGCCGTGTTGGATGGGCTTGACGTACTAATTGCTCAGGAAGTTCGGCCCAGGAGGTGGAAACTGCGGGTGCTGGATTTAAGGAACTCGGGTGCCAACTTCTGGAGAATGTGGTGTGGAGACAGCACCCAGAATTGCTCACCGACGGAACCAGTGGCTGTGCACAGCTCCAGCCCCAACATGGAGCACCCCTTGGCTCCCTTGGAGGTGTTCCTAGACCTTAACTTCAATGAAAGGGACAGGGATAAGTTTTTCATGTACATCATCCGATGGGCCCAGCAGAGGGAAGGGTTGCTACACCTGTGCTGCAAGGCGCTGAGGATTTCTGAGGTGCCCTTCCAGAGGGTCAGGAAGGTCCTGGATGGGGTGCAGCTGGACTGCATCCAAGAGGTGAAAGTAAAGTGCACCTGGGACCTGCCCACCCTGGGGACGTTTGCTCTTTACCTGGGTCAGATGAGTAACCTGCAGAGACTCTCTCTCTCCCACATTCACATGTTGACAGAGGAGGAGGAGGAAGAGGAAGAGATAGCGGAGGAAGAGGGGGAGGAGCAGGAGTGGGAGGAGCAGGAAGAGGATTGGGACAGGAAACATCAGGAGGAGCAGGGATCCTTTTCCCAATTCCTCTCTCAGATGCTCAGGCTGCGGCACGTCCGGGACCCCAACATGGATTCTCCCTCCTTCCTCCGAGGCCGTCTGGACCAGATGCTCAGGTGCCTGCAGACCCCCTTGGACAAACTCTCCGTAACAAATTGCCATCGGCTGACGCATTCAGACCTGACACACCTGTTCCAGTGCCCGAACCTCATGCAGCTGAAGTCCCTGCATCTATTTGGCCTCAGCCTCTCGGATTTTAGTCTTGAGCCCCTCCGAGCTCTGCTGGAGGCAGTGGCACCCACACTCGAGGACTTGGGTCTGGATAACTGTGGGATGGTGGACTCCCAAGTTGAGGCCATCCTGCCTGTCCTGAGCCGCTGTCAGCAGCTCAGGGTCTTCACCATCTCTGAGAACAGCTTTTCCGTGGCCACCGTGGAGAAGCTGCTGCGCCACACAGCCGGGCTGCGCAGTTTAGAGCTCGAGCTGTACCCTGTCCCCCTGGAGTGTTACAGGATCCAGGGGACTGTCAACAAGGAGAGACTTGCGCTGATCCGGGCTGAGCTCATGGGGATACTGAGGGAGTTAGGACAGCCCAGGACCATCTGTCTTGGCAAATGTGGCAAAAGTAAAGTTTATGACGTGGAGTTTTCATGACATGTAGCCGTGCTGTGCCCCTGTAATGACCCTGCTCAGTGGGAACACTCAGCAGAAGCTTTGTTCTGGGCCCCTGGAAGCTCTAATATAGAACCAGGTGCATTATGCAGGGGGCAGCCACGTTCCAGATTCATGCTCCTGTGAATGGGGAAAGGAAGGGACCAAGCCCAGGTCCACGATTACATAGGCAAATGTTAGGGAGTTCATGGGACCTCAGGGGGCAAGTGTCCTAGAATCAGAAATATGAATCTGATTTGCATGGGGACGGGGGAGGGGTATTTGTGCTCCAACTGCATGTGTGGGAGTTGATCCTAAGGTGGATGATTGTAAAGGAAAGATCAGAAATAAAGATAATTTTAAAGGCCACCATCTGGTCTTCCGTCATGTATTATCCTTTCTCCCCAGTTTACACCTCAGGACCCTCCAGTTACTGATGAATAAAGGTGCCCACGGCTCAGGATCAGACACTGGAGCTGCTGGGATGCATTTCTGCTGCAGGGCTCAGCACCATTTTATCACTCCCTCCAGGTCTATACTTCTCTCTGGGCATCTCTACCTCCTTGGGGCTGCTCAGTGGGTGGATACAATGGGACATGCTAAGTGGCCCACCAAACCCTGAAGTGAAGGGGACTTGCTCGAGGTGAATGTGTGGGAGTTAATCCTTGGGTGGATGGTTGTAAGGAATGATCAGAAATAAAGACAATTTCAAAGGACAAAAATAAATAAAATAAAATAAAATAAAATGTCTCTGTCATACTGTTTATATTTTCTCATATAATGATTGGTACCAGGGAAAATACAGGTGACTTTAACTAAACCCAAGAGGATCTGAATTGTTTTTATACTGGTTGACTTATTTATAACAAGCTCAGTGAAATTGTTGGGAGTTAAATATTACAAAATGCAATTTCCTATAACCAATAAACAGTGATTGGTAAATGCAATTTTCTACAATGGACATTTAAGTAAATATTTTATAGTCTCAGGGTTAGAGGTTGTGTAATCATTAGTCATTATGGTTAGAGTAAAACCCCATGAGACCTCTGTGCATGAACTACTGAATTTTATGATGACAAAATACAGAAAAAGTCTAAATGTGACAAAAAATTATTCTAACCCTTCATCCTATCTTATGTTTGTATTTTTAGTGGCTTCAAGTTAACTGACTGGTAAATATTTTCCAGTTCTTCTTTTATTTATATAACAAGGTGTAATCGTTAGTTCTGTGCAGAGTATTCTCACGGTCTCATGGCACTAGTTCAAAGCTTCTCAATCTCTCAAAGCTCTTCTATCAAAAAAACTTGTGGGTTCCATTTTTTTAAAGATTTTATTTTCCCCCAGATTTATTGAGATATTATTGACATGTAACATTGTGTAAGTTTAAGGTGTGTGCATGGTGTTTTGATATATGTATATATTGTGAAATTATAAAATTAGTAAACGCTTCCATCACCTCACATAATTACATTAAAATTTTTTAAAAATCCTCACCCGAGGATATTTTTTCCATTGATTTTTAGATAGAGTGGGAGAGAGAAAGAAAGACAGGGAGAAACATTGATGTGAGAGAAACACACCGATTGGTTGTCTCCTGCACGTGCTCTGACCAGGGCCTGGGCTGACTGGAATGGAACCCGGGACCCTTTGGTCTGTGGACCGATGCTCTATCCACTGAGCCAAACCAGCTAGGGCCATAATTTCCATTTTTGTGTGTATGTTTGGTGAGAACATAAGATCTATTCTCTCAGTAACTTTCAAGTATATAATACAGTACTGTTAACCATAGTCACCAAGCTGTACAATTAGATCCCTCGTACGTTAATTTTAATCAATGGTTAATTAAAGAACTTAGGGTTTACCATGTTTATTTCTATTAATTTCAAAGGCATTTGTATTTTGACTTGCCTCTATCTGAGAAATAATAGTTTTGACCCCCCACATAAAGGAATTTTGAGAATTACCCAAGGAAAAATACTATTTTTGTGGTGGGACAGGGATTGACTTTTCTCATGGTTTCTGAAATCATGACATCCCGAGGTCCTTCCTAAAACTGGTCTAGCAGGTCATGCAATATGAGCACGGTTCTCAAAGCTGACGTGACAGTGAACAGAGAGCGCTTGGTGACAATGTGCAGAGGTTGGGGGCATAAGTGAGACTTCCTCTTTGAACCATGGATTATTTAGAAGTGTCTTGTTTAATTCCCAAGTGTATGGAGATTTTCCTGTTATCTTTGTTAATAATTTCTGGTTTAATTCTATTTTGGTCACAGAACACACTCTGTATGATTTTAATTCTTTTACATTTGTTGAGGTTTGTTTTATGGTTCATTGTCGAGTAAGACTCCCTCCACGTCCCGCGTGGAGTAGGGTTCAGTATCTGAAAGAGGGGCCGCACACAAATGAGAGAAAAATGACACGAGATAATTTTGGAATATTGGGGGACCAGGCGGGCAAGTCCGGAAGGACTTCCACCGATGCTCAGGCCGCTCCAATCTTTTATTGAGCTTGGAGTAGCCTTAGGTAAGGAGATTTCAATGACACACAGATCAGCAGACAATTTCCAGGAATAGACAGAGTATCTGATTAGCTCATCGGTAGACAATTTCCAGGAATAGGCAGGGTATCTGATCAACAATAATCAACAAGGATCTACACAAGTATCTAAGGAATTCAGTGAACTAAGGTGGGGATAATGCTTTAGCTACCATTATCTAGATTAACTGGGTGGTGCACAATCCTGACCTTTTTCTAGGACTTTCAAAGGTTACTAGCTTTTGGGGGTCTCTGTCTATACTCAGCTAGTGAAGACAGTAAATGGTTTCCTGCAGTTCATAATATAGTCTACCTTGGTATATGTTCTGTGGACACTTGGAAAGAATGTGTATTCTGCTTTTGTTGGGTAGAGTGTTCTACAAAGGCTGATTAGATTCTGCTAATTGATGGTATTGAGTACTTTATCCATGATGATTTTCTGTCTGGTTGTACTATAAATTGTTACTCGAAGGGTGTTAAAGTCTACAGTTATACTTGTGGGTTTGTCTATTTTTCCTTTCAACTTTACGAATTTTTGCTTTATATATTTCACAGTTGTGTTGTTTGGTACATTCACATTTAGGATTGCTGTTTTGTTGGTTAATTGATCTTCTTAACATTGTATAATGTCTCTCTCTGTCTCTGATAATTTTTTTTGCTCTGAAGTCAACTTTATCTGATATTGATGCAGCTATTCCTGCTTTCATTTGACTAATGTTTGCATGACATATCTTTTTCTGTCCTTTAACTTTCAACCATATTATTTACATTTAATGTAATATTGTTATGTTAAAGTTTAAATTTGTCATTTATCTTTTGCTTTTTGTTTGTCCTCTCTGTTTCATTATTTTTTGAAGTTCTCTGTTTTCTTTTCCTGTCATTCTGTGGTTTACTTGAACATTTTGTAGAATTTTATTTTGACTTACCTATAGTGTTTCGCATTCCCCCCCCCCCCCCCCCCCCCCCCCCCCCCTTATCACTGACTGTTGGTCTCATCATTTTGCCAGTTTTTCCTAAAGTGTACAAATTTTACCTCTCTTTATACCCCTTTTCTTTTTCCTTTTCATAATAGAGATGTCTTAAATATTTTCTCTGCATACATTTACAACCACATCAGACAGTATCATAATTTTGCCCTTAATCATTACACATAATTTAGAAGACTCAAGAGAAGAAGATAAGACTATTATATTTACCTATATTTTTGCTTACTGTGCTCTTTCTAAGGGTGCTTCTTTATCTCTCACACATAGTGGAAAATGCATGAATCATCAAAGACTGTGACTTACACTGAATAATTTCTTTTCTTCTTGGAAGCTGCCATTTCCCTCAGGAACCCTCGCTGGATCATGTAATTCATGTTTTTATGCCCTGTGTGGGGATTTGGCTTTTCTGTTTATAGGAGTTTGGTTAAATACAACCAGGCTGCACGTTTAGCTAGCGTCCCAGTAGGCACCAGAGAAGCAAGTTTGTCAAATGTAAATTAACATATACAATCTAAACATACTTCTACTAACTGGTTTAATATGTGCTCTGCTGACAAAGAAGTCTCCCAGGTAATAAATGTTGAATGCTTGGGAAAAGAATACAGGCTTCAATTTCAACTAAAAATTTAGCTCCCGAAGTCAAGCTTTGGGCAAAGAGACAAAGTGGTTGTTTTGCTATTTTTTAAAAAACTCTGAATGATTAGTTAACTAGCTTAAGAAATATAAAAATGATGTGATTGCTTTTTAGTTAAAGAAAAGTTTGATGAAAAATAAAAAATGAATACATTAGCTCATTTTAGGATAACTGTATGTATACATAGTTATCATATATATGTAAATATATTTCAACAAGGCAAAGAAACCTCACTATTTTGAATAATTGGCTCAGTGCTATATATAAACCCACTTTGTTTATTTATTTACTTCTAATTAAAATACTAGAGGCCCGGTGCATGGATTTATGCACCAGTGGGGTCCCTCGGCCTGGCCTGTGCCCTCTTGCAATCTGGGACCCCTTGGGGGATATTGGAGGCCCGGTGCACGAATTCGGCCCTATCCCCGCAGGCCAGGCCGAGGGACCCCTAGTCCTATATAATAAAAGCCTAATATGTTAAGTGTCCGGTCATCTGTTCAACCAATCAAAGTGTAATATGCTAATGATATGCTAAGGCCACTTAACTGCTTGCTGTGACGTGCACTGACCACCAGGGGACAGACAGTCGACCGGTCAACCAGTCGCTATGACATGCACTGATCACCAGGGGGCAGACGCTCTGACCAGTAGGTTAGCTTGCTGCTGGGGTCTGGCCCATCGGGACTGAGCAAGATGGGCTGGACATGCCCTGGAGCCCTCCCGCAGTTCCTCCCTGGCTGGCCAACCTCCGGCGTTCCTCCCCAGCCCCAATCATGTACTGGTGGGGTCCCTTGGCCTGGCCTGCACCCTCTCGCAATCTGGGACTCCTTGGGGATGTTGGAGGGCCGG